AAGCCCCGCTGCACTAATAATGTCCCGTTGATGTGCGCTTCAATGATACGAACCTTGGCGTCGTACTCGTATGACAAGCTTCCCACTAGAAGCACTAGCTTATCATCATCGACCAGATCATCACCTGCTGCGCTACACTTCAGGCAGAGTCCAACAAACTTCAACATGTGGTCCATGAGATTTGCGCCGCTCTACATCATAATCTCTTGAATTTGCTTGCTATGTTGCACTCTGTTATGCAGAGTCTTCTCAGCGAAGAATGTCTTGAGCAGCTTCCAGGCTTCCATAGCCGTCATGCACTCTCGGACAATAAAATAGTAAGTTAGGGAGAGCATTCTGACTGTCACAGCCAGATTCTTCACATTTGCGACTTTCCACTGCGGGGTATTCCATTGCACTGCCAACTCTGGCTCCACGAGAACGTGGTCCATAGAGCTCTTTCGGGTGAGTGTCATTCGGGCATAAACTTTCATGTGAAAAAGTTCTCGTCTGGGAGGATGACGTTGGGTCCTGGCGTTTTTGGCGTTTGTCATGGGCCAGGTCCCATTACTCATGTTGTGTAGACCACATACTTTTTGTATCGGCTATTAACTTTACACCTTGTATAGTTGTATATCCTCTTTCTGTTCTGTTGTTATAGCACTGATGTACTTATCAGAATAGGGAGGCTGAAAGCGGACCGTTGACTTACGTAAACTCAGTCTAGCTTAGACTTCGTTAAAACATGATGGCCATGTTGAGGTACCATGTCACAGATTGATATGGTACACGAAGTCAACTTGCAGTGGATATTGATAATATGAACGTTCACGACGAACCAATCAAACTTACCAGGATTATAGAATGTAGATGCTTGTGAGGAAACAGTATATTCAATCTTACTTTTTCATTTTAGCACTGCAACAGATGAATCTACATCGTTATAGGTTAGGAGCTGTAATGGAAATCGCCCGTGCGTGTACACACACTTTCTGACGAAGGCAAAGTCTAACCGACACGCGTGTTGGTCGCTTCCAGCGGACCGTTGACTTACGTATATTATTAGCTATAATAGGAGGAAAGGTGAAGTGACATTCATTATTATAGCTAATAATAATAGCTAATAATATTTCCTCCTATAATGAAGTGACATTCATTATTATGATTAGCGACATTCATTATTATGATTAGCTATATATTATTAGCTATAATAATGAATGTCACTTCACCTTTCCTCCTCTGTTTCAAACTTGGGAGCCGTTTGCATGCGTATTTACATTAATTCTCCAAGCATCGGGTAGATCGTACAACCTTCCATTGCCTGCCTAACGCGCCGTCTAAAAGTATTTGTGATTCTATAAGGCGACTGCTGATGTGGCACATCTGTCGGCAGTATCATGCGTTTCATGAGCTCTAGCATTCAAACTTCGTACTTTGTCACAGACTGACATTGCTCTCTCCAGAGAGAATGGAATCTCAAAAGCGCTCTTTCGTTAGCTCGCAGAAGGTTTAGGCTTAACACTTATCAACCAATGCACACCGCCAACACGCTCAATCCTTGCTATACCCTATCAAGAAGAAAGAGTAGACAGCAACGACCCACCTCTACATACCTGGAGGTCATTCTCGCTAACCTGCTTGCAATGATCTCACAATTGCATGGTTATAGCTGATGTTTCGAAGAAGGGTGGCTCATTTATTGTCATATATTTTGTGTTCCGCAGTTTGACGCCTGCAATGCATAAGTCGAATAGGATAGAATAATATTGTTGTTTGAGAAAACTAAGTCCTGCAACCCATCCCTACTCAATCAACTCGAATTTTCAATCACATCTTTGTATATCATTTACTTGATGTTTATCAGGAGTGATATCGAAGTCGATTTGGCCCCAACAAACATGTAGAATCTGGAACTACGATTAAATGTGCGAATGAATGCGATATGATCGGATCAAAGCCAGCTACATTAAAAATCCCAGG